AGGCTTCTCCACAACCCAGTGAAACAGGGCAATTTGCCATTTAAAGGGCCCGTTACAAATAGCAGTTTGTAACAAGGTGTCAATCCATATCTGCCAAGTGACCCGATGTAGGGGGAACAGTCCCTATTCTGCTCTGTGTCAGTGTGTATCAGGGATCCTTAGGACAGGTGTCAATCCATATCTGCTAAGTGACCCTATGTAGGGGTACCAGTCTCTATTCTGCTCTGTGTCCGTGTGCATCAGGGGCTCTGAGGACAGGTGTCAATCCATATGTCAAGGTGTCAACATGTCATATGTCGGGTGTCAATCCATATTGATTGTGATTTAGGAATGTTAGGTGATTTCTGCCCTTTATGGATTAAAACCAGACTCTGTATCAACTGTGTAATTTTCCATGGGAGTTTTGCCATGGATCCCTCTCCGGCATGCCACAGTCCAGGTGTTAGTCCCCTTGAAACAACTTTTCCATCACTATTGTGGCCAGAAAGAGTCCCTCTGTGTTTTAAAATTCGCCTGCCCATTGAAGTCTATGGCGGTTCGCCCGGTTCGCCGGTTCGCGAACATTTGCGGAAGTTCGCGTTCGCCGTTCGCGAACCGAAAATTTCAGGTTCGCGACATCACTACAGAACACCTGTTGCAGTCATAGAACTAAATCTTGTTACACACATAATGTACATGTTTTATGGCATTAGCCTGTGTAAATAATCTGAAATCTATAAATAGATTACAATGAGGAATTTAAGTTGTGCTCTCCATTTGTAATTTTTTTTCACTTTTTGCACATTTTTCCTGCATTTTCCGTACACATTGACCGGTGTCTTCATTTTTACTACATTGTTTATAGCTTTTTCTGTGACACAGATTTTCTGGAAAGCATCCAATGCTTCTCATAGGCAAGTATTATATTCCAATTCTTTCCTATAAGTGGAAGACAGCCACTATTGGTGGATTTAACCCTGCAATATAAAGATTATAATTTCTAAAAACAGACAAAATGCAAAGTATTACATCGCAGGATTAAAAGGACAGGGGCACTGCACTTAGAACACTTTATCAAGATGAAGTGGTCTGGTTGACTTTAGTGGTCTTTTCAATTGTCTAGGTTTAGCTAGATATGATAGTCATGTGATTATAATCTTAACACATTTTCAAAGAGCTTCATAATAAGTAATCTCTATACTAAAAGGGATACACCACTGACTAAATAAGAAAATGAATCACCATTTAGAAGATATACCGGAAGTCAAAACATGCATGATAACTATACAAAACATGCAAGTAATTATGTAACAAGGCTAATCTGTAAAACCGACAAGTTATTTTGAAATCTGCACTTTTTTATAAAATTTAAAAATAGGACACATGCTTCACACATAAAGCACTTCAGTAAGTCAAATTGTTTTAGGTATTTGGAGTGTTCCTTTAATGTAAATGTATCCTTTCTCCATTAGACAAAACCTGCCCTTCCTATTAGATACCCTCTACTATTTTCTTCTATTTTATCCTATCCCCTGCTTGTGCATTAAACATCATCTCCCAGGACATACTATTCTATGCCAAATTGAGATTCTGTGAGTGGCAGTGTAAATATTTTTTCACTTACACACATTAATGAAGTTTGACTTAGTCAACTTTTAGCCATAGTGTAGACATGTTACTTTAAAATATACAAATAGAATAGGGGATAATCTGAATTCAAGGTGGAGCATGTGTTTATTTTTTTTAATTTTTTTAACCGCAAGTCAATTCTTATAGCGAGGATTCAGGATGTAAAAGACCTTGAAAATCTGGGGGGTGAAATTAGTTGGCTTTGTCTTCAATTGGGGGCATTACATTAAATAACTCATCTTCTTCTTGGGATTTGGATGTAGGACAGAAATTCTTCGCATCACAGATTTGTGCATCCGCAGGAACCACACATCAACAGTGGAAAGAGCCTCCATTTTGTTTAAATGTACATGGGGATTTAGGCCAGAGCGCAGTTGTCCTCCAAACATCACACACTCACCAAGCAAATTGTGATACTGAATTGCTGTGGTTTAATGTTTGATATCTTAGAAGAACTGTACCGCTGTTGATGTGTGGTTCCTGCGGATGCACAAATCTGTGATGCAAAGGATTTCTGTCCTACATCCAAATCCCAAGAAGAAGATGAGTTATTTAATGTAATGCCCCCAATTGAAGATGAAGCCAACTAATTTCATCCACCAAATTTTCAAGGTCTTTTACATTCTGAATCCTCCCTATAAGAATTGACTTGCTGTTAAAAAAAAACCAAAAAAAAAAAACACATGCTCCACCTTGAATTCAGATTATCCCCTATTCTATTTGTATATATTCTGTTGAAGACAAGAGGAAGTCTTTGGGGACCTATCTGGATACTTCACCTGACACAGGGAAGTTCCGGTCTGCTTAAAATTATACACCTTTCTCACTGGGGTTGTGTTCACACATCTTGCTTGCTTTTATGTCACTTTAAAAAACAGGTGTTGTGGCCAATGCTTGAAATATCTGAAGATGCAGGTGGTAGCTGTGGTGGTGGTCTCCCTTAAGGGCCATACATTTGGTTCATGAACAAAATCAGAGATTTCAAACGAAGATGCAAGAGAGTACTAAGAATGGACAACAGCTCAAGTAGCCTGACCTTCAGTGGGTCCCCACTCAGATCTCAAGCTGGTTTTAGCGCACTTTGTGCCATAGAAAAAGAACCAGGGTAATTTGCACATCAGACTGATCCCACTCAAAAAGACGGAACAGATCCAAAATGCAGGCTGGTTCTCTCTGCACGAAAGATACAGCAACCCGAGGTGATCGTTTCAACCTTGTTAGGCATCGTCCGTGAGGTATAGCTGATATCCCTCTAGGCACCATGAGCAAGGGTGATCCACAGCCGTTTTCATATCAGACTGATCCCACACAAAAGGTCAGTCCAGATATGAAATGCAGACCCGGCTCTCTCTGCACAAGTGATACAGCAACCCCAGACTATAATTTCAGCCTTGAAAATCAGAGATTTGTCAGTCCATCACTCGAGTTCTGTAAAAGAAGCACATATTTTATTTTCTTCCATATCTTCCCTTCTGCAAATTAGACTGGCCAGTCATGAAGCATTAATACGTCAAACACCCAAGCTCCTCTGCTGTACAAGTTAGAATTTAAGCTGTTACTGATTCTGTTATATATGTTCCTTTGAAACCTGTGGAGAAACAGGTAGGAATATGTTTTTAAGATTCCTTTGTAGCAAGAATTCTGTAGTTCTTGCTTAATAAACAACACACCACAACTGATTCAGATTAGATAACAGAAATATTGCAGAACTTGTAGTTTTGCTAGAAACTGAAATTAAATGTTTTATGTCCTGGCTGAAGAAAGCTATTTAAAATTAAAACATCTGCGGTAACTTGAGGTAAAATGCTTAATCAATTCACTGTTATTGTAAAATTGATAAATAATAGTCATACTACACATTCCTTTGTGATAACATAATTAATTTCAAATGAAAATATTGTAAGAATTACCTACGTATCATAAATGTAATGAGAATAGCACCTTTGTTGGATACATTTTTATAGATTTTTAGACTTTCAAGATCATTCAATTCTTAAAAAAATCTCAATGTATTGTCCACCTGCAGTAGAAATTCGATTTTATTTAATTATAAATTACTGGCGACTCACCTGCTTGTC